AAAAAATAACGAATAAATATCTAACCATGCAGATTATCTGATTTTTCTTTGTGCCCCTCAATATTGTATTTTCAACAAACCTTCTCTTCCAGATAATAGAAGCTGGTCCGCCGAGCAGAATTTCGGCTGGTGTGCTGCATGGTCGATGTCGCAAACGGCCAACGCCATCGAATTCGATTATTTTCAAGGACCATTTGAAGAACTTAGTTTATAATGTAAGTAAATAGTTTGAAAATTCAATGAATTGGGGATGAACGCTTTGCCACGGCCAGAACTCGAACCTGGACCTCTACTCCTGGGAAGTTGCTTACCATCATATCACTACAGTAGACAGCACCATTGCGATAGGATCGTTCAGCGAACTCTGATGCAAAAAAAACTGCTTATAGTAGAGCATATCAAACCTGGTTTCAGGGTGTAGCTTGATCAGTTTCATTTAGGATGCGCCACGCGTCCAAAGTCCCGTCAAAATCGTAGCGGCATTCGCATGGGAGCTGGTCCATATATTTACTCGGAGCGGCCAGTCGATGTGCAGTTCTGCATTTTTACCCCCTCGCACAGGTCCAGGGCAGGGTCGACCGTCCGTTCGCACAATTCGAACGAGGGGGTCGCGTTCACGATTTTGGGAAGGGGATCGCATTTCGGGGTTGAACAAGGTGGAATACTGCCGGGAAAAGCGTAACCGAGGGTCTTAAAAAGGGTTACCAGTCGACCGAAACAGAGTAAGGAGAGCTTGGTTGACTTGTGCGAAGGTGGATCCCGGGTTTGACCTCTGGACCGTGCGCGTGGCATGGACAGCACCTTCCATCACATCATTCCGTTGATAAAATCTACGTCATTAGCCCGAGGAAAAATGTAGTAGTCCAACAGAGTCCATCTTTCCAGGGTCTCTTCAGGCCTCTCTAGAATTGAATTTTTATCACGAGGCAGTTATCTGATTTTGCGACCAGACCGTCCAGCGAATCGCGCGAATCGCTAGCGATTGGTCGTAAAGTCTGGAATCTGCCTTTGTATGTTACCTGAACCATCCTTGCTCTTGTCGAAGTGATCTGTTATTATTTTACATATCATTTTAATAAGAGAATAATCTAGTAACCAGTTTTTTCAGACAACCCTTCAAGACCATCAAAATATGATGAAGAAACGAGGCTTGACGTTGAACGCCCATCAAACTCTCGTGGTCCGGTTGCGGGTAATTTTTTACCCGTATCTTTTCTTCTTTTTCTTCCGATGGCTCTCCTTGAAGAAAATCTATTCTGTACTTGCTTTCAGTATATCGCCGAGTACGTTATTCGCAGTCTGAACGAGTTCGGTTGGGCGGTAGTAGACAATTTCTTGGGTGATGAACATTGCCGTTTTACCTACAAGTGAGTTCCACATTCTTTATTGGAGACTATGGTGTAGGAGGCGTATTAACCCATGAGAATCAAGAGCGTTATCACCAAGGTGAGCCAGTGTTGAGACACTTTTGTCCCTCCTCCCGTGAATACGACCCCCTCTGCCTTCCTTACGACCGTCACCTAATGCCATCGATAGTGCTGGTGAACGCGGTGCCAGGTGACACACTCCAACTCCGCCCACGTAGGTGCAGAAAGCCTTTGTATAGCGAAGAGTGATGAGTGGTAGTATGTGTCGAAAACAAATTCTACCCACATTTTTTCGGTGTTTCTCGAATTTTCGCAGAAATTCTTTAAAAACTTTCCAGAAAATTCTTCATTTCTAGAAAGGTCAGCTTATCTTTCACATACGACTCACCAGATCCCACATTCGCGCTCTTTCTAGGAGTCAAGCGTCCTTGGAGTTTCAACGAGGGGGATCGTATTTGGGATTGACGGAGTCAAACGTCGAAGTGAGGATGGTCGTATTTGTGAATGCTGGTGGGGTTGTGCTCAACGGGTTTGTTGACGATTTTGAGTTCACGAAGGAAAAATGGAATAGACAACGTAGAGATCCGGTTTTGAGAGATCCTTGAGGCGACCCCTCCCCCTTGACGGCCGGTCTTGGAGGGGAAAAAGTGTCGTGGGTGCAGAGTAGGAACGTGTCGACTGGTTGTCTCAGGCTGTGATGGTGAGGGTGTGGACGTGGGTGGGGAAGGGGAGGGGGGTAAGGCTGATGGTGGAGGTGGTGGCGCTGATGGTGGGCCGTGTATCGAGACCACTCCTCCCTTAGAGGAGATCATAAAATCTTGGAATCGGATTGAGGTACGGTTAAATCTGTGTCCCTCCCTCCCACCAAGTCAAATGCAACCCATGTTGAGAAATCCTTTGCCGCGGCTTACCCTTGTGAACAACAAGCGTCGTTTTTGTTTCCATTTCAAATCTAGGAGATTCCAAATCGTTATGGTTGAAGGGCTGATGAAAGCGTGGTCCAAGGCTAAAGATGTAATTCGAAGGACGTTTATTCAAATTACGAGCGATAGCGTTTGGCCCAATCGCTACTATGCGTTGGTTCCACCACAAGCAATTGCCGCCGGACAAGATGTTTCAATATGTGTGAATTTTTTCGTGAGATTTTGGCTTGTGACTATCTTTGCACAAAAAATGTTGGACTACTCGCCATGATTTTGAGGCCCAATTATTTACTTTTGATTTTTGATTTTCGGTTGACTATAATGTCGAAAAGCGTCAAGGCCGTCTCCGTCTCAGCGTTTCGCGAGAAACGCAAGTACTATTCCGCGCGTCGCAGCGGAAATTCCACAATTAATAATTGCCGTATGCTGTGCCGCCGTCGTCGATCTAGACCTTTTTGCATTTTATTTAGTTTCTTATTACTTTTAACACGTTGACGACAGCGTGACGCGGTAACGCGTCCCACTTTGCGCACCTCGTGGGACATTGTGACGCGGTAACGCGTCCCACCCAAGTCATCCCTTTTTCTTGCGCTTGCGCGACTTATTCCTAAGGTCTTTGTACTCATTCTATAGGCCATACATTAGCATACTTAAAAATCACATGGCTCACAGAAAGGCTAAATATTCTTGAGTTTGGCAGAG